ATTTAATCTCAGCTGGATATCTCTTGACCAACTTTTAAATGTGTAGTTTTAACTTTTTACAATTTTCACCTTGCTCGTGTCGAGGTGAAATCCTAAAAACTGTGCATGTAAAAGAAAAACTAGTTTGGCATAACTATATCTAGATCAGCGGTTCTCAAATTTTCAGGCGGGTTTTTTTTTTAATGGATGATAATGGAATGGTAACCCCACCCGCGCTATCAGTATACACCGGCGGGGCACCAGTGAAGGATGATAGGTGAGGATGAAATAGGTCAGTTAGCCCATCGTGACAAATTCAACAAGAATTGTTCACGATGGTTTCCAGGAGGAACCACGTGGAGGTCGACCTAATAGGGCATATTGCTAGCAATGGGGCTGTCAAACTCCATTGCTAACAATCCCATTCCCCCCCCCCCCCATATTCAGGCAGGTTGACAAATGCAGTTAAGAGTTGATGATATTATAAGAGACGTTGCTGCCCATTCTTCGACCATTAATCTCTTAGTGGCCTCTTATGATAACCACGGGAAAGGAAGACGCGGTCCATTCTATGTTGACACCACACGGCAATTATTTAATTAACTCATGTAAATCAAATGTAAAGGTAAAGAAAAATTTCATGAAAGATTAATGACAATAAGTAATCCTATTGTTAAAACAGTACCCTCACTGCATACCTGACGACAAAAGATTTTATAATAAAATAATTGAAATTGGTATTTTGTTAATTAATGTTTAATTTAAATATATAATAATAGTTTGTACGTATAATTAATAGTGTAAAAATTGTAATGAATTAAAAGTAAATTATGTCCGCAATCACTTTATACTATGAGGGGGGAAAGGGATTGTTAGTAATGGAGACTGAGAATCTCATTGCTAGCAATATACCGAACCAGGTTGACCTTCTCGAGGTTCTCCCTGGAAACTATCATGATTAATTCCTGATGAATTCATCATGATGGGCTAACTGGCCTGTTTTCATTCTCATCTATCACCCTTCACTGGTGCTCCGCCAGCGTATCCCGTTAGCGCAGGCGGGGTTACCATACCATTTTCACCCATGAAAAAAAAACTGTATACTATGGGTATATACCTGAAAATAAAAGATTATTATTATTATAAATCCATAATCCTGTAAACACATATACAAATGAAAGTAACAAGAATACGAACGTATTGATCGGTGTCATACTTCCTCGAATATTTCCATTCGAATCTATTTATAGCCATCTGCGATTTAATTTTCCTTTATTTACGTTTCTATCGGACTTATTTTTGTAAAAGTAACAATGATATTGCACTTTCTGAAACGTGATCTCGAAACAAGGGCATCGTAATCTTCTCAATAAAAAGCTAGAAAAAGTATTGTGAGCGCCGCTGTTTCGATTTAATTTGATCTTTTGTTGTAACTTTATTATCGCTGTGACAAACTTTAAAATCTTTAACAACGCTAAAAATATACATACTTAAGTATGGGAATGTTCAAGTATTACGTAATGCAATTTTTTTTTTAAATTTTGTCCCTCCCATGTAACGCGCCGAAACATTTTTCTGTACCCCTTGACCCCTCTCTAAAAGGGATAGGGATTGTTAGCAATGGAGTTCGACATTGCTAGCAATATGCCCTATCAGGTCGACCTCCACGTGGTTCCCCCTGGAAACCATCGTGAACAATTCTTATTGAATTCGTCACAATGGGCTAACTGACCTGCTTGATCCTCATCTATCATATCTCACTGGTGCCCCGCCGGTGTATACCAATAGCACGGGTGGGGTTACCATTCCATTATCACCCATTAAAAAAAAGACCCCTCTCTAAACGTTACATAAAACCCAAGCGATCATATTTACCTAAAAGTCACGACACTAACAAATACTGACAACGAAACAAAATAAAAATATCGTACAATACAGTCGAGGGATATCCCGTAAAAGGTTGCCAACTTGGTAATTTTAATTTTTTATTAATACCCGCCCCTGTAATGCATCGTAACGTTTTACAAGACTGAATTGCGTGATACTTGAATACCCTCTATTTATTGTTCGTACATAATTCTTAATGGTTCGTCCTTTTTTTTATAATACAAGGTCAAACGAGCATGCGGCTCACCTGATGACCATAAACACCCAGAACACCAAAGGAATTACCAGCTATTTGCCAGCTTTTTAAAAAATATTTGTCAAAAAAATAATAAGGAGTATGTTCTTTTCTTTCTAGCCGTGTGGTTTCGACATAGAATGGGCCGCCCCTTCCTTTCCTGAGGGTGTCGTAAGAGGTGACTAAGGGAATTTATTGGTCGAGGGATGGACAGCAGCGTCCCTCTTAAAACATCACCAAAACCTAATTGTGGTTGCCAACATGCCTGCCAAGTTTGGAAACTACTGGCAAAATCCCCCTCATGGAGGAGACCAATGTTCAACAGTGATCAGTGAAGAGCTGGTATAACGATGATGATATGATTATTATAACGTACTTCTTTTTTAATAATACAGGGGACAACCGAACATGCGGCTCACCTGATGGTAAGTGACTACCGCCGCCTACAAACACCGGCAACACTCATCGGGCGCGTTGATTCCGATAGAAATGTGCCAATAATTTTTAAAATAATGAATGTCATAATCGTTGACAGATTTAACTAGGATAGACAAAAAGACTGTGTCCAAATTTTAGACCGTTATTCGATAATAAATGGGCTATTTTTAAAAATCACAAAAAAACGGATGATAACGGCTTCCGTTTTCCCGGCAATTGGTCTTTGTTAGATAACCGTTTAGTGCAATAATGGTTTTGTGGCCATAGAAAAGGCGTGCGAGTAACGCTTCCGTCCGAGAGAAGCGGTTCCATTTTTTTAAGACGAAAATAGTATGATTATACTGCTTCCGCTATCGATATTCTGGCGGGGTACCAATGTACCTAAACCACAATGGTTTCCAGTGAAAACCACGTTGAGGTCGACCTGATAGGGTATAGAAATTACGCTGGTACCCCTTTATTTTTTTTATTACTAACAATCCCTTCCCTCTCTAGATCACTAGACTCCAGTACCGAATGTCAAGTTTCTAAACCGCCTTCACCGGTCGACGTTGAAAGTATTACCAGAGACTGTACATAAGTCGTTTGCTTGGGACCTATATCCCACTTGTGTATTTGCAGTGAAGCAGATATGCTTGCATGTTTTACAATTTGAAGAGGATATGGTAGGTATAATCTTTTAGAATGACAATACCATGAACTGATCTGCTTTCATCTTCACCTATCATCCCTCACTGGTGCCCCGCCAGTGATTATCGATCGCGTACACGGGGGTACAATTCCATTTTCGCCCATTAAAAAAACAGTCACCCGCTGTTTTCGTGGCCACAAAGCGAGTGTATAGCTATTAATAGAATATCGTAATCCGTCAATAAAAAGATTTGAGTATTTTAACAGTTGCATTATCAGTTCGTAATTAACGCTAGTATTTAGGTAATAAACCGTAATACTACATTGCTCCTATTGCTATCTACATGGTGTTTAAAATATAAACAGGTACCCCAAATACATAGAAACTTTAGTAACTATTTACAGATACACAATCATATTTATCGTAGGGAAAGGATTTGTAAGTAATGCGGACTACCAGTCCCCTCCCCCCCTGGGAACTATCGTGCTGACTTCCAGATATAATCGTCACGATGGGTTAACTAACCTGCCTTTTCATTCTCATCTATCATCCCTCACTGGTGGGCACCAACGGGGCCGTAAACGTATACCATTAGTACGGGTGGGGTTACCATTCCATTATCATCCATTAAAAAAAAACATTATTTCAACCGTTAACTATCCATTGCTGAACATACTTCCCCATACAGGGGTTTTACCGGTAGTTAGTACATACGGTAGGTGGGTTGGCAACCGCAGTTAGGTTTTTAGAGATGTTTTAAGAGGGACACTGCCGTCCATCCCTCACACGAAAAAAGAATTATATTTATCTGAAATTATATATAGAACATGATTATTTTCATTACTCTTATAATAACTTATTTTTGTATGGTAATATTTTATGCATTTATTTATTTGTATCTAATATATTGAATTCTTCAAATTATAAATACACTGCTTACCTGTTTATCTATTTGTCCAATGGATGACTGGTAGAGAATCTAGGGAATAACTACCACTGTTAAGTCCGTCATATGACGGACTTAACAGTGGTAGTTATTATGGGGACTAACTTCCCCATTACTAACAATCTCTTCCCAAATTGAGTCAGAGGAGGAGGGTCAAATTGGCGCGAACACAAATTAGTATTATTTAGTAATTAGTAGTAAGTCCCCATCGCTATCAATATACCTTGGCACTTACAATCGACACTCCACGCGATTCCCCATGGAAATCATTGTGACTAATTTATCGTTGAATTCGTCACGATCACGTCACGACCTGCCTTTTCATCCTCGCTAATAATCCCTCACTGATATCCCGCCAGTGTATACCGACAGCACAGGCGGGTTTGCCATTCCATTATCATCCATAAAAAATCTGAAACGGTCCCTCACAGGTCCCTCGACTTAAAACTCCAACAAGGTATCCCTGAGAATTCCTCAAGAAGTGTCGAATACCATATTCTTAGTAAATCGTCATCTATTATTTAGAAGAAACTCGATTGAACTCGAGTACAATTAGCTTCTCTCTATTGTTAATGAAATTTATATTTAAAACAAATGGCGACAATATGTTCATTAGTTCTTTTGCGTAAATTATAGTATCTTTAGAATTCTGTGTCATCATAGAATTCCACTGGATTTTTTGTTTTTTTTTTTGCATCACAAAGGTGGCAAACAAGTATACAGCCCATTTAATGGTAAACTTTTACTGTAGCCTATGGACACCTGCAATACCAGGGGTGTCAAATAAACCCTTTATGTAAAATCCCATACTGTAATCTCTCCATAGTCGTGTATCTCGTAAACAACATCAATCTGGATATTTTTTTTTAATAAATTAAAAATAATTAATTATTAATTCTAACTTCCTTTATTTGCACACTATTATCCAATCATAAATGCTATAAAATACATATACACAATATTTCGTTTTTACACACCAAACTTGTACTGTAAATTTTCTCTTACTGACAAAAACACTTCTCAATTGTTCCTTAAGGTAGTTTCCGATGTATCTTAACATTAACAGTTCTTACCTTACACATTCTCACATCGAGAAGAAGAAAGAAGAAGAAAATATTCGTGTCAAGGAATAATTTGCCAAATAAGAATATTGATTTCAGTAAGTGAGAATGAGTTAATAAAGGTTTCAAAAATTATTTTAGAATACAGGTATAAATGTATATAAATTGGTAAACTAAAAAAAAATAGTGCAATGCAGTGCGGAAGAAGTTAGGTCAGAATTTGGAGGACAAGCGACTTGCTCCAGAAATATTTACAGGCGGGAGTGAGGGCAGTGAATTTTCCAGAAAATATTATAGACAACATACTGAGATACAAATGTTTTGAGCCCATGCGTAATTTTTAACTTGTATACTTCGAGTGTAATCCCTAGTAACTTTAACGAACCATGATCAATTTATAACAATTTCATTAACGAAAAGATAATGTTTTTGGGCCATATGGTAAAACTACACAACATCTATATAGTAACTAAAAACATAATTTTAGTAACTGACCTATAGGTCAATTATAATAATAGAAAATTAATGAAATTTTAAAGTAAACAAATATTGTAAAGGAGCGAATAGCAGGCAAACTTCAGACAACTATAAATTTTAATAAAACAGTAAAAGAAATAAGAGCCATCTTAATACTTTAAGACAAAAAAAAATACAAATCAATAACCTAAATCTAGGACTAGGCACAACTAGATTTAGGCACTGTACACTTCCAACAGAAAGTCAGTCAACTAACAAACAAAATAGAAATGGTCACACACAAAAAAAAAAACTAAATTGAGACCAACTAAGTAATACTAAAATATTAAAAAAAAAACTCCGTTATTAAAAGTTTATGATTAACATTAAAAGAATGTAGAAAAGTCCAAACACTATTTACAATAGAATTGACAATCGACATATTCACGCACTAGTCGCCTCAGTCGCGATGGGTTTAATTTCAGAAATGTGAGATACTTCCTCATTTATATTTGTTTCAAGGGCACCTTCATCTTGTTCTGGATTTGTTTCGTTACATTTTTCAATGGATACACTTAATTTGACTTCATTTGAATTGATAACTTCATTTATCTTTTCCTCGAGGGCATTCTGAACTTTGAAGTCGTTTGAGACTTCAATATTTAATACTTCACCAACATCGTTATCCATGTTATCATCATGGACAACTTCCAAATCACACAAATTAATATTAGCACTATTTATAGCTTGTATTAATGTTTCTAACGTTTTATCATCTACCTTATCGTCTGAGCTGTCTTTACCGTCATTTTGTACTTCATTTATATTGGCACTAACTTCATTAACATCTGTATTTTCTTTTGCGTTCGACTCATCACTTTCTGGCTCTTTGGTCACATCTGTTTTCTCTTGAACAGTTTTTTGTGCTTGTTTTTCTGCTTTGCTCTTTTTTGATTTGGACTTCTTCTGTTTTTCCGGTTTAGGTGGTTCCTCTGTAGTGTTATTTTTATTATTTGTTAAAACATTCAGCTGGCTTTGGAGATGTGCGAGACTTTGCCGTAATTGGGCACAGTTAGCTGCCATTGCGTCGACCTGAAGTTTAAATAATTTGTTATTATATTTTACTTATTAATTAAAATTTGTTACTCTGCAAACAAAAACCAATAAGCATAATAGCAGACCAGCAGACCAGATGTGCCATCATTGTGCCCAAGCATATTTTAGGGATTGTGCTGTACAGAAGACGTAATGGAAGTTTATTCTATGGTCTTGTGTCCCTACTAATAAGGGAAGCAGAGTGACATCTTGATAATCGTACAAATTGAAATTGATATTATAATTACCTTGCTATTAGAAGCCGGTGCTGACGCAGGAGATGTAGAGGGTGCGGGTGCGGGTGCCAGCGCCGGTACGGGCGTAGGTGGCGGCGGCGGCAGCGGCGGACGTTCGATGTTATGCTCCTTCAATGTATTCAACAACACAGTACGCTCACCCTGTAAAAAACATAAGATTTTTAAGTAGGTACATATAATATGCATATTTTACTATATAGTAAAGCACGTTACGAAACTATAATTCACGGAAACCGCTGCATAGGTAGCGGCCTCGATGCAGCGCATCATACCTTCCATCGACACGTGATGCCGAATCAACGGAAACGTGGGACTCAGAATATTCATGGAAAAGCCGGCAGCCGTAGTCACTCTTGGTACACACATCGACCAATTGACACATGTTATAATTAATATATATTAATTGTATTTTTACCTAAGTACATTTAACCTAGAATAATTTTTGGTTTTCTTTGCACCCCTCGGCTGTAGCTTTCTTATCTAGCACTATAAGACTATCTCCATTCTTAGTAAATAACTCTGTCGGGTCCACATCAACGCGATCCTTAGCTTCTTTTTCCTTATAGAAACACAACATTACCATTGCCTTGCCTCTTCCCATTTATTTAGGGTTGACGCAGTATGTCTTCTTCCACAAATCCCTATCAGCTGTCATTTCCGAGCTCACTCCTCTTTTTTGCATATCATCTTTCACACAGTCCATCCACCTTTTCTTCAGTCGTCCCCTTCTTTTACATCCATACACTTTCATACTTAACACTTTCTTTAAAACATGGCTTTCATTTCTGCGCATGACATGACCATACCATGACATTGTATTACTTCTTTGTTACCGGAGCAAATTTTAAGCTTCCCCGTACATACTTATTTCTTATTCTGTCATTCCTTGTCACTCCACACATCCATCTTAACATTCGCATCTCTGCCATGTGTATTCCTTTATCATCCATCATCTTTATGGGCCAACATTCAGATCCATACAGGATGATAGAAACAATGTAAATATTAATCTCTGAGGAGACAATTGACAGGACTGAGACAATCTCTGGGTCTCCCTCTCACCTGGAGCGTGCGACACAGGCTCTGCATGTGGTGCAACTGGCGGGCGGCGGCGGCGGCACGTTCCTCACTAGCCTGGCGTTCCCCGCACATGTCCAGTAGCGCCGTCTGCGACGTCTCCCATCTCTTCTTCCATGATAACGACTCTTTTTCCAACTTCTTGATTTTCTTTGACATCTGAAATAATTAATCGAGGCAATGAATATCTTTTAAACATAGAAAAAGAAAGAATGTGAAATTCTTACTTTATCTATATCATGCTAATTTTTAGCTAAAGCTACATCATTGTCATAACTAGGATTAGCGGACCTAAAATCAACAAAGTAACTATCACATTTATAATATTACTAAAGATTTGATTACTGTCCAACCGATATAAATTTTAAACTTATCTAATATCGACAATACACTTTTCTTATTTAAAAGTATGTAATTGTTATGTTTACGGATTCTTCTCAGTAAACAACAACATTCCGACCTAGCGTTAACATCAGAAGTATCAACTTTTATGTTAACAAATCATATTTAAATAGTATAATTTCTATTAGAATTCTAAATTCGAATAGAAAAAAAAATATATTCGAATTTAAATAAAAAAAAATAGTAATGAAAATTAAAATAATCATTTTACCTTCTCCATTTGTTCTTTGAAACCTCCAAACACTTGATTACTCTTCACTAAAGCGTTCTGGAACTCGTCATACTTGTCAGTGTAGACCGACAACTGTCCCCTCAAGGCGGTCTCTGTGCCTTGAAGCTCCATGATCTTGGTCCGATACTGAGTCAACGTCACCTTCAGGTGTTCCATCTCAGCCATCAACTTTTCTTTCTCGGCTTGATGTTCCAGACTTGCCTTCTGGAGTTTGGCGTCGGACAACTGAGATTCTAATGCCATTTGTTTTGCCATTTTGTCTACCTATTACAAAAATGAATTGTATTTATTAGAAACAATAAGCATATTTGTGAATTAACAAATAATAAGAAGAAACTTCAAGTGATTTTTCGACTATTACCGATGTGTAGAACTATAACATTCGACATTCTCACGTATCACTGAGCGTGTTTGATTTTTAAAATTTTTTTTAGTAAATTTGTAGGCAATACTATTGCCATTATTCAGATTAATTGTGCATATTTTTTTTTTGATGGGTGAAAATGGTATGGTAACCCCGCCTGCACTAACGGGATACGCTGGCGGAGCACCAGTGAAGGGATGATAGATGAGAATGAAAACAGGTCAGTTAGCCCATTATGATGAATTCATCAGGAATTAACCATGAGAGTTTCCAGGGAGAACCGCGAGGAAGTCGACCTGGTTGGGTATATTGCTAGCAATTGGATTCTCAGTCTCCATTGCTAACAATCCCTTTCCCCCATAGATACTTACCATTATACTACAGAGGATTTGTTTTTTTTTTTTTATAAATGATGAAAAGTATACTATAACCTGCCCAGGAGTATAAAGAATAATTGTACTAAGTTTCGTGAAAATCCGTCTAGTAGTTTTTGTCTCTATAACGAATATACAGACAAAGAGACAAAAATTTTACTGGTTGCATTTTTGGCATCAGTATCGATCACTAATCACCCCCTGATAGTTATTTTGGAAATATATTTCATGTGCAGAATTGACCTCTCTACAGATTTATTATAAGTATAGATAGATAGATTTTACCTACGTTTTAATTTTCGTACTTTGAATTATTGTGGTATATTTAGTATGTTAATATACCTTGTTACTGATAAGTTTGTTGATTCTGTATGGCGGTACATAATGAATGGATGCCCTAAGCCTAATGAATATTTACATAATATTCAATGTTGAAATCTAACACATTTACCTATTCATTATCTATAGTACAATGTTAGTACAATGTATATATTTATTTTTAACATTTATTAGTTTCATTAGTCGAGGGCTGACAATCTATCTAGTACAAAATTATAATTAAAAATTGTGTCCTACAAAAAGAAATTCAATTGTGACAAAAACAGTTTTTTTTTTTCTAAAAATCATATTACTGAACCTTTTTGATAAAATTTCTATGGAACCAATCTGTAAGTATATATATTAAAATAAAATAATATATATATATATATTCGAAATTGGTTAACAACTGACGGAGTTATGCGATAACAAACATAAAAAAAATACATCAGAACTGAGAGCCTCATTATTTTTGATGTCTGTTGAAAAGGACCACCAACCGAAAGGACTACCTACACAAAATGTTTACTTTAAAGAGAGCAACTAAGAAAATTTTCATGGAGAAACTTAACTACCCAACTACGCATTCATTACTGAATTATCATTCTATAAAATTATTGATACTATTCCTGTTTTTTTTTATGGATGATAATGGAATGGTAACCTCTCCTGCGCTATCGGTATACACCGGCGGGGCACCTTGCCATTTTGATAAATACACCTGAAATTCAGCACGATGGTCCCCCCCCCCCATCAACTATTCGAATCGGAAATAATTGTATAGTCTACCAGGTTGACCTCCACGGGGTTCCCCCTGGAAACCATCATGAGTAATTCTTGTGGACTAACACCTATCAGATCAGTTATGACTTGATTTCATCCTCACCTATCATCTCTCACTACCCCGCCAATGAGAGATGATAAGTAGCGTGGGCGGAGTTATCATTCCATTATCACCCATTAAAAACAAATACCACACCTGTTGTTCCCTCAACTGATACTGTTGGACCACACTCTTGAACTTTTCACTCATGCTGATGTTATCATCTCTGAGCTTGGCGTTCTTCTCATTATTCTGTTGCAAGAGTGCTGTGATCTCCGAGAGAGTGTTCTGGAATTTGGCCTGTGTTTCCTTACGACGCTCTTCCTCCTCGCGAATCTTAACTAGAGATTCTTCCTGAAATTTTAAACTATTTTAATTAGAACATGGTTTTATAGATTGAATAGACATAGAAATGAATTGGATGCTCAACTACAAGGGTTGGGAAGTATTAGATTCTCTCGAATAAAAAGGCATGTGGGGCTATACACTTGTTTACTACCTTCATGGTATAAAAAAAAATATAGCAACCAGTAACTGCAGTTTTGCAGACAGAGGCTGAGAGCTGATTAATGAATTGGCCTCGTCATATAATATTATAAAAAAAAAATAAACCACTGAGGTGGTAATCAAGCATACAGCACACCTGATGGTAAGTGATTACCGTAGCCTATGAACACCTGCAAAACTCGGGCTATTACGCGCATATTGTCAACTTTGAAGAAACCTCTTCAATTTGACATCCAAATAACATTAGATTATGTTCTTTAAAGAATAGATTATTATCAATGAGCAGAATAGAAAAGGAAGAACAAGGTTTTAAACATAATACGTGTTAATTACCTTGACCTATTTAGTATATTTATGTTTATATACTATTATTTATATTATATATGTTTGTTTATGTAATCCAATCTTATTTTTATATAAATGTTATTTAGAACAATATGCATTTTATGTATGAAAACCTAGTAAACAGAGCATACTATTCAATTGACGATTTCCTTGAAGATAAATGTAATAAATTTCCATAATACTATAATTTTTTACTATAAATATGACATTTTTGATTATTTTTTTTTTTTTTTATATAATTTGTTTTTTCTTATATAATTGCAAATTTGTGTACCTCGATATATGGGGTTGATCATAGAGGACTTATCTTGTTTTACCATCCATTGTTACCTATGTATCACAATTTAAATAAATAAATAAATAAAATAAATAAATTTATTTAGATACTTTTTTGTATTTACTGTGTCTGACTTGCGCCATCTACCTTTCTCTCTGTACTTATCTACTATTTATGCCAGATTGTCTGTAAGAGATTGTTTTTAGCGATAAAGCCGCCTTTTGTATATGCACATTCTCTATAAATACACCTTGTTTACATATCTTTTGTGCGCAATAAAGAGTTTATTATTATTATTATTTAAAAAATGTGATGGCCGAAACAAATAGATAATTTTACGATTACTGCACCACTAATAAAAGAAAACCATGTTTTAAGAGTGTTATGTATGAAAGTGGAAAGATGTAAAGGAAGGGGACAATGAGGTGGATGGGGGCACAGAGGTAGATGGACTGTGTGAATCATGACATGGATAAAAGAGAAAAGAAGTGCCCAGATATGAGGGTTGATAAGGATTTGTGGAAATAGAAAACATACTAAACCGACCCCAAAATAAATGGGGAAAAGGGATGGCAATGCGCTGAAATGAAATTTTTGTATTGAAATTATTTATTTACTCCAAATAGACATTTAACACTATAGAGGCCATATAACAGAACTATTAGCATCTATTTAATTGCCTTAAGGTTATAGGCTTATATTATGATACAGCATTACTTAATGTTGATGACTGCCCTTACTAATTTTATAAATGGGGAAATGTTATTTTTTTGTTTTTTTTTTGTTTTTTTATTGATTAACATTGCATGGTAACACTGCCACACATGGTAACACAGGCCAGTTAACGCATCATAATGAATTCATCAGGAATTAACCATGATAGTTTCCAGGGGGAACCGCGAGGAGGTTGACCTGGTTGGGTATATTGCTAGCAATGGGATTCTCAGTCTCCATTACTAACAATCCCTTTCCCCCATAGATACTTATCACTATACTACCGAGGATTTGTTTGTTTTTTTTTAATAAATGATAATGAAATGGTAACCCCACATGTGCTAACAGTATACGCTGGCAGGGCACCAGTGAGGGATGATAGATGAGGATGAAAAAACAGGTCAGTTAGCCCATGATGAATACATCAGGAATTTAGCAAGATGGTTTCGAAGAAGGATCCATGAGGAGGTCGACCTGATAGCTTATACTGCTAGCAATAGAATTGGTAGTGCACATTACTAACAATCCCTTTCCCCGAATTTGTTACCCCTTAGCACCTTAATGGCTTAACAAATTACTATGAAATTTGGTGTACACACACCACATGGAATGGAAAAAGATATAGGTATTTTTTATCTCAGTCAACGTATACCTGTCACGCGGATGATGTCGCGGCTGAAAGCTAGCATTATTTTTTTTATTCATTTTTTTTTATACCACTGAGGTGGCAAACAAGCATACGGCCCACCTGATGGTAAGCGGTTACTATGGCCTATAAACGCCTGCAATACCAGAGGTATTACGCGCGCGTCGTCGACCCTGAAGAAACCTCTTGAAGATTTTCCCTCCTATTGAAGAACCCCATGCTGTAGTCTCTTGGGAAAACCTCGGCAGGGAGCTCATTCCATAAAAGATAGTAACTAAGTACTTTAGTAACAATTTTATTTATTTTCCAGTAGTACTTACAATTTGCAATTATAAATGCCATTCAAGGGACAGTTTTCACTTTTGGCTCTTATAAGTTTAAATACATAAATAAAATCATTTTAGAATTAAGTTAAATTTAAATATTTTTGTAAAACAAATTTAATATAAAAGATGATACTATACTTAGCAGCATACAGTTTCTTCAGGGTCGGCAACGCGCGCGTAATACCTCTGCTATTGCAGGTGTTCATAGGCAAACATTATCATCTGAAATAAAAAAAAATTACTGAAATAGTAATTTTGAGAAAAAAATAGTTCCTCCTGTGGTGTAATTAGGGACACACTCAGCCCACATAGCAGAAACATTTTGATTGGAATCCTTTTGAATCGAGCCGACAGAATAGAATTTTATCTCAAAGTGTGTACATATAGCAGTAAACATTGCTTGGGCCTTAACATCAGTATCAACAGTTAAAACCTTTTTTTTTTAATTTTTATACAACTTAGAATGGTAAACAAGCTGATGGTCCACCTGATGGAAAGTGGTAACCGTAGCCTATAGACATGAGCAGTACCATGGACATAACAGAATATACTGTTTCGCCCATGATACCCCCTATGCGTTGCCAATCCTGAGGAATTAAACCCTATTGGGCATGCAGAAATTTTTCAACCTATTATTTTAAGGAATTCCCAAATGCAAGATTACCTATTTTTACTAATATCATATGTGTGAAAATAACTATTTATTTGTTGCCTCTTAGTGCTTTAACAGCTTTACCAATCTAAATGAAATTTGCTATACAGGTACTATATAGGATGGGAGTGGACATGTCCTATTTACACGGATGAAGTCGAGGGTAAAAGTTAGTTTTAAAATAATTATTGAAAGAAAGACTTACCTTGATAGCCTTGTTCTGTTTCTGAAGTTCACGGCAAAGGTTTTCCAATTTCGACTTGACAAGTACAGTCTTATTGTACTCATGCTGCAGTTGTTCCTTCTCTTTAGACAGCAATGTATATCTTTTTTCCGATTGTTTAATATAAAACTGCATCTTCTTACTGTCATCCATTATATGTATGTACTTTTTGCATACAAGTGATAATTTTTCTTCCAGTGTTGGCACCGAGTTTAGTGATTTCATGAACTGCTCTACACTTTTATCATCTTTCTTGCTGGTGCGGTCTTCTTTTTTTGACTTTTTTGGTGGGTCTTGTGTTGGAGGTGGGAGAGATTTTTCCTATAAACAAAAAAATTATGCATTTATTAAATCAATAGGTAAAATCATAGAAGAATATGTGGATTACTAGACTCTCACTATTTCATTGTCTTTTCCATGCATAAATACTTGCTGAATGCAATTCAAGAAAGATTACAGTAAACAGTGTACCATCTAGTCTAAAACTAAGTAGAGCTTATACTATAGGTACTAGACAAGTCATAGACTAAATACTTTTATATAAATACATATATATTATATAATATACCTAGACAAATACAAACAGACATACTCATAAATGTTTGTATTCAGGTTAATATGCGAGAATGGAACCTGTGACCATTGGAAGGATTGGAAGGAAGTGGACTACACTTAAACAAATATTTAAATAGGTTTTTTAATGATATGGTTTCATCTATGTATAATATGAATGAATTAACAAAATAGTATTTAGGTATACCTACCAACTGTCTTGTACCCATAATACAAGGCTTAGTTTGGGGTTAAGACGATGATGGTATTTATTTAATATTATCTTTTATAATTAATACAAATTGAGAACCTTAAAGTTTTAAATTGATTTAAACAAATATAACATTATACAAAAGGTAGGTTGTTCAAAGATTTGACAACCTCCATAGAACAGCGGTGGGTGCAATGCTTTACAGTAATCAAGTCCAATTTCCAATAGAATTATCTTAAGTCTAGGTACTCCGAGTTGTGCCCCCAGATATATCTGGTTCCTCATAACACAAGGTATCCTTTTATAGCTTGAGAACCAGACGAGACCAGTCAGGAAAAAAGACTTCAGAATATTATAAAGATGTGGGACACTAAAGAAAGGATAATACAAAAAGAAGCAGGGAGGGAATAATGTAAAAAAAAAAAAGAAAGTTTTGGTAAATAATAATAAATATAAAACAAATTATATTTCAGGTAAATTATATCAAAGGACAAATGGGTAAAAAAAAAAACAGAAATTAAATTTTAAAGCTATAATTTAAAAAATAAAATATACATTTTTTATTAAGTATGCATGTAAGTATGTAAAAGACTTGGCATAAAGATAGATATGTAAAAGGAGTGAATAACATACTGTAGTTTCCCTATTTTTAAATTTAGATTTTCATTGTGTTCTAATGTTATTATTAGAACATTACTAAATTCTAAATACCTCACATTTTTTTTTTATTTATTATTCAAAGGGTACTTGTTATGTTCTCTCGAATTGTCATAATCCATATAAGAAGAAAGAACATGAAACGTGCTAAGCTAACGCACAAAAATATCATAAACATTTAAGTAGTGTTTTGGCCTTTCGCCAACTCTGTTTCAGGTTAAAATTTTCACCTGTTTAACGTAACAGAATCGAAAATTTTATATTTTTATACGATAGTGATTCAAAAATTGAATATAATTATTTATTACCAAAAATAACGACTAATATGTTTTTTTTTTTTTTCCAAAATACCCATAATTTTATTTACCGACATTTGATAGCATTCTATTTCTAGAACTTGAAAAATAATATAAGAAACGTATACTCACAGTTGCAGTCATATCTGGAATTGCATTTTCTGTATTTTCTTTGGATACTTCTTCCGCTGCTGCTTCCATTTTAAAATAAGTTTAATTCTTTAATTTTATCCAAACACAACAGAAATAAATTGAATTAAAATTGACACCGTCCTAGTAATAATAGGTAGTTTATACATTAAAGAGATGAAATAGATTGATACATGCTGTTCTGTTCCTTTCGTTCAGAAATTTGTAAACTACAGATTAAAACCATTAATATGAACCCGAAAATAGCAATTAAGTAGTAGGTACCTATTTAATTTCTACTTACATATAATAAATTATTAAAATTAAATTCCGAATTTATTCATAAGTAGTTTCTTAAAAATATCATTAAATATATCAACAATTTCGAGGATATTATTAAAAAAAAATCAATGTAATTTCCTAAAGTCAAGATTTTATACGTTATTTCTTTATTTACTAAAATTAGTTCCATTTTTCTTATAGATTCTTCATAGCAAAATCTTTATTATATCCGAGAAATCAAATCCATTATTCTTAGATAAAATACATCACTATCAGATTTACGTTCGAAAACATAAGTAGGTATAGATTTTAAAATACTTTATAATGTTTTCTTCATGATCATAATCATCATCATCCCTCATTAATTCTCCGGTAGCGTATATTAAAAATGAAGGTAGAATTGAAAAATACCTAAGTTCCGAGTTTCTAAACTATAAAAACCAGATTAAACCAGATTATTTCGGATGAGATAAATGGGTTACTAGTATTAAAATTTCTACTATTTGCGATCCTTTTCAATTATATTGACGGATTAAATAATTGTAATATAAATATTTTCACAAATATATTACATATTTTTTATTGATGTTACTATAATCATTATGTACTCTTTATCTCCATAGCTCAAAATTATATTTCGTGGTTACGAAATATAATTCTCAGCTACCTGAAATTATTCCAAACTATCAATTAACCTCTCTAACAGTTTTAAGGTCGTCATTCTATTTCGTGGTAAATCTGAATTCTCCACTAAATATAATTGCATAAGATTGTCTTTCAACAATACTTTTTTCATCGGTTATGCAATTTGACTGACCTATGGCTAATTTAATTTGTTAATCCTTTTACTGCTGGATGAAAATGAAAACAATGACATCTATTTAATAAGTGATTAATTAATGAATATAAACATTTTTTTCCAGAGGATAAGCACAAATTGAAATTGCTGAATGTAGAAATTTCAATTACTGTTTCACAGATGTTGCCTATAATTAAAAAAAAAATTACTCCAAATTTATATGTAACTTGTAAAAAATATTAAATTTATAAATAATTAACTTTGCGAATATTTACAACATACCTTGCATTAAGTATGAAAAGGTTACATGTTGTTATAGAATTTTTATATGCTTATTTAATAATAATTTAATATAAAGAATAAAGTACATTATGAGAAGATTGGATCTGAGGTATAATTCTTTATACATAATTAAACTGGTAATTTAAGAGTTAAGTAAATTTTAGTTATGTTACGGATCATTACTAACTAAATTTAACGTAGTTTTGACTTAAATATTATTCGGAGTTATAGGTATACTACCTCCACATTGATCATATCGATGACGGTAGAATTACTATATATTTTGTATGTTTAACAATTTATTTTGTCTAATACAAGTATTTAGTATTGAATATTGTTTTTCGTTTTCAAATTTAAAACATTTCTTGTAAAGTAAAAGAAATTCTCTTCACAATAGATTCCATTATTTAAAAATTTTGGTAGACTTATGAATTTATAGTAGGTAACATTATTAAAAAACATTATATGTCTATCTCTTTCTTTGATGCATTATATCAAAAAGAAGTCAATCGTTTGGTAGTCAGTGAGTAATCTTTTTCTCCGAAATTGGAAAATTATACGTTCACGCTTTCCTGTACCATAATAAAACCAAATAGTGCAGCAAGTCTAACAGTCGACCATCACATATATCAGGTAAATAATTAGATTATTCTTCTATTTTATTTTTATTGTTGCAAAATAATTTCTTCGCACGAGCCGTTATTTTTTAAGATTTACAAAGGTCATTGTGCCCTAATGCCGTAGGACGAATATTAAGTTGAATAGTCAGTTAAGAACGTATATAGCAACATTTTTACATATTTAAATTCGCATATATTCAATTTGCAATAATCCACGAGTTTGCACCTCGCCAAGTGCAGACAAAGCGACCGTTATTGTTCCCGCATGAATGACTTGACCGCACTATGTGCCCAATAGATTCATTACTTTTACAGTTATCCATCTAAAATAACTTATAATTGCCAGTCTACACTGCATTGTCGTGTTCTTTAAGACTATTTTTGTCCACTCTCAACCGGTTTTTTGATCTGATGGCGTATGCCCTCATTTTCTTCACACGTTTATGGTTTGGTTAAAAATAACATGGATTAAGGAAATGTGTAAATTTTTTGTTATGCATACATATATCTTCCTATAAACATGCTTAAAATTTTGTATTAATTTTCCTCAAAATGAGGACAAATATAAATTGTCCGTCATAAATTAGTAATAAGTATAAAACAAACAGCACAAAGAATTATTGTTGTAGGTATTTGTATTTAATAATATTGCTCTTATTCTATTAAATATCAATTATCAATAAATTCTTGATCTTTTAACTCAAAATTAATGTTGTAAATTAATAATTGACTAGATTATTTAATTGCCATTTACTCATGCTGATTTCATTTCATTAATTGATCTCTCAGTTTTACTTATTTTCTGACTGATAGCAATTTGAATAATCTTGTTGTAATAAATAAATCTTTACAACAAATAAAAACAAAATGTATAAAGAGTAAATAAAAAAGTTTATCTCTTTATTGATTAAGTATTCACTTTTTAAAAAATAATGCTGTATTTCTTTTAAGTGACAATAATGGATAATAACTTTAAATGTTGTAATGTGAATTTAGTTTATTTTTTGTATTTAATTGAGGCATACAAATAATATAAAACACTGTCAGAAAATGAATTATTTGAGAATATGAAAAAAAGAAAATGGAAATTCTGTCCAAATTCCATTCTTTCTTTTGCCTAAAAACTAAATAAACTATAAAAATGTGCAAATCAGTCCTGTCATTCTAAAACAATTTTAAAATAAAAAAAAAAGAAACCATGTACACAATTGAAAGTGGAATTTATTGTCTTATTTGACATTTTTAGTTCATCAGAAATCATCAAAACAAATGGAAACTACTACACATTATTTGGGACAATTGCATTATGAGATTTTTATTCTTTTACTCTTAAAACCTATTATATTTATTAAAATAAATGTAAAACTATTTATTAAGTTTTCTGTAATGAGTTGAGTTATATAAATAAATATTCAACATTGTTAGTAAGTAAATTGATTGAGAATAGCAGGAATGATTTGACTTTTTTTTAATTGTTACATTAAGATGAAGGAAAAAAAAATTGAATTTGGACAGAATTCTGTTGGATAATTTGGGTAGTAGTAAATGTTCTGGTTTTTAATTTCCAATAGTATTCTTATTTGATGCAATGATAAAATTTTACAAGATTAATTATAAAGATATTAGGTATCCGATTAACATACTATTATTATTAGTTTTGTCTTTTTTTTGCCTGGATTCAAAATTTAATAAAAAGATGAAGAAATATAAATGTTATATTAAAATTTTATATAAAAGAAAAGATGTAAATTTTATTTTATACTAGCTGTTTCCTGCAGTGTTGCCCACTTCTATGTAGTTCTTGTATATCATTTCCATTGGAAGTCTTCATGAATCCAGTCTTCAACTGATTCCAATTCAACTGATTGGTCATTTTATAGAATTTTATATGTGATTCTTTCGATTTATATATTTTTTTTATTTATGAACCAATTGAAATAAATACTAAATGTTAAATAGAGCAAACCACAATATATTAATGAAAACTACATTGAAATCATACAAACAGACAAAAATTCTAAAAATAATTGTTTTGGATCTATTGCATTCATAAAGTCCCTGTATAATAGTTTTTCTTATATATCTTCCATGTACGGACAGCGACCAGTTACAATCTTATTATATGTATTTCAATTATTAGTAGCATGACATTAGAGTATAATAACATTTTCCTAAAGTTGAATAGGAGTGAATGCTTTTATCATTAGGTCTGCCTTGTACATGTACTAATAAATAAATAAACAGTCTATATGTTATGAAATATACTATTGTATATTTTGTAACTTAATGGTACTAATATAAAATGGTATCCATGCATTTTTGTCATTTAGATAGTAATTTCTTTTATAATATGCTTTTGTACAGACAGTCTTTTTTATACATATCTTAAATTTTCTTTCATTTAAATGTAAAACCTCATCTGGAAGTTTATTACAAAAACATATTCAGTACCCCATAAAATATGTACTAATTTTTCTAAGGTGATAACAAGGAACATTCATATACTTATATCAAATTCCATTCAATCATTTATATATTATTAAGTAATTAATAAATACTCAAATATACTCATTATTTATCATGTCTCATGTTTATATTTTATTTTAAATACTCACCAAACACAACAGAATTATCTATTGTACTTAACAAAACTCTGTAAATATACATACAATATGTTGATAAACATATTGATAAGACCATGTCCACACCCATTTATGATCCTGTTATTAATTATATAACTAATATTATAATAATTGTAGAAATTATATATTATAATTAAATATAATTGCTTATTAATTCACTTTCTTATGACTATTTAATTCAATTAATTACTTCATTATATTTATTTTATGATAAGGTTTAAAATACTAGTGTTTAATATTGCTGTATTTATTATATAATTTTTTATATTTGTTTATTAATATATTTATATATTTATTAATATATTACTGTATTTATTATACAAATTATTGTGTTTATTAATTTGAATATACTTCATTTTATCCAATGAGCATTATATTTCATAACTATCAGATGAATGTGATAAAAAATATATAGTTACAGTAATGTTATTTTGTTAATAGGTATTTAAAATCTTAGATTTATTGTTACAAAGATATCTAGTAGTAGGCAATGGCTGCTTTCAACTTATAATAATTATTGATATTAATTATTTATATTGTATGTTTACTTCTTTATTCAAATATTTATGCATTATTTAAGTATATATATGTATATCTATATATTACAATTTAATTTTTGTATATTAATCTGGACACTAGGGTCATTGCTTATGTCCATGTAGTTCGACTTCATGCTGCAGTTGTAAATCAGTGCTTTGCTTCTATGCAAAACTATCAGGGGGGGAACGGGATTGTTAGTAATAGGGTCTAACAGCCCTATTGCTTGCAATATAACTTAACAGATCAACCTCTGCGGTTCCCCCTGGAAAGCAATGTGAAAACAAGTCTTGTTGAATTTGTCACAATAGGCCAACTGACCTTTCATCTTCACCTATCATCTCTCACTGGTGCCCTGTCAGTGTATACCGATAGTACAGGCGGGGTAGTATAAAACTATCATTCCATTTTCAGCCATAAAAAAAATTCACTGAGCTATAGTCTATTTGTGTCACTGAGCAACAAATTGCAAAAACATATTATATTTTCTATTTTATATTATTTTTTTTTATTTTTATGGTTATGTAACTATTTTATTTGATTGCATGAATTTAGTTGTTAATTTACTTGAATCATAGATGACTCAAATGAAGTCTTTATCTATGTAGTCAAATGGAAAATGTTTTTATTACATCTCAGTGTCATAGATCTTAATACATTTATGGTAGAGAGTAATTTGAGGTTCCAAATTAATACAATTAGTTCAAATTGATATGTTATGTAGTTTAGGTAACTACATAAACACAATATACCAATTTGTTCCCAATTTGTTAATTACAGTTTAGTTTATAGTTAATGACTCTATCCGCTGCTGTCTTGAAAATATGGATGTCCTTATTCTTCGTGAACGAGATTTATTCATGTAGCCTGGAAACTTAGTGCTTATTAAGATCTTTGAGCTCTGAGATTCCATTATTTCCTATTTATTATTATAACTGTGAAATGTATTTGTATGTTACATTTCGCCGTCTTAATGGCACGGCTTACATAAAAATGTATATTTGGAATAGACATAGACTACTTTTTATTCCGGTCAGAGGACGAAATCGGTGGTAAAACTAGTTTCTTATAGTTTTTATAATTAGACTACAGAATAAATATATTTATTCTGTAATTTGGTAATTTACACATATTTAATTATTTTATATACATGTAAACAGTTTAAGTACATAGTTACGAGAGACTTATCGCTCAACAGAAATACCTATGTGGGCGATATTATGGACTGTATGTTGATGTGTTAAGTGTAGTGAAACAATGGGTTTATAGGAAAATAACTATAATAAAACTACAGAAGCAGATTACGAAAGCGACAAAGAGCAATGTGACAATTATAAAAACAAAAAAGTATTAATAAAATATTATAAAAGTAAAATCTATAAAAGAACTAAGCAATTTACAACAAAATGTATAGGTACTTATTCAATTAAGCTAACCAACCATAAAGACGTTATAAAACAAGGAGAGCAAGAATAATTGCCTTCAAATCATCTGTGTTTGCACATAGATTGATTATTATTTCAACGCATTTCCGTACATTGTGGTTATGCGGACACGTGATCTGCACATCGTATGAGGGATATACTCGAAGGTAGCTTAGGATAATCTGTTTTTTTATTACTTGGTACAGATTAATAAACAATCTTGATTTTTTTTTTTTAAATAGGTGATAATAGATCGACAGCTTCGCTTATGGTATCGGTATACACTGGCAAAGAAAGTGAAGGGTGATAGGTGAGAATGACTGCAAGTCAATTAGCTATCATGACTAATTCAAGAATTAGACGATGGTTTCCGGGTGGAACCGCGTGTAGGTCGACCTGTTAGGGTATAT